AAATTCTTACTGATATAGCACTTAAAAAATTACTAAAGTGAGTAGTAAGAAAGTTTTATCTGTAAAGTTATGCAGAAGGTTTTCTAAATAAGTGATATTTCAATACCCATTCTACAGATATTTGTGGAGTAGAAGTTAACTAGTTTTTAAAGAGGGGCAAAAAGGGGTGTTTCAGGTGAAGAAAGCAGCAGATACAAAGGCCTAGAGAGAGAGAGGGAGAGCATGGACTTCCCCAAAATGGTGAGGTTTTCAGTAGAGCTAGACAACTGAGAGTTTGAGGGCCTGTACAAGTAGACACAGGCCCATCATGAAAGGTCTTGTAGGCCATGGTAAGGAAATTTGGACTTTTTCTTGAGAAAAATGCAAAGCCATTGAAGAGTTTTCGAAATGGGTAATAATATAAGCACATGTTTATAAAGATCATTCCGGCAGCAGTGTGGACAATGGCTTAATGAAAGATACAGACCAGCTGAAAGACTGTTGCAATCTCTAAGTGAGAGTTGAGATCATGGCAGAGAGGATAGAGAGGAATGGGTGGATCACAGAGAAAGTTAGAGGTAGAACCTATGAGACTTGTTGATTTAATAGATGTGTGTGCATGAAGGAGGTTTTAATCAGGGAAGAGAGAGGGAGAATGAGGAGTTATGAAAGACTCCCAGGAATAGCTGGATGAATAGTGGTGCCCTATGATGAAAACACCCTCGAGAAGTATGAATAAAAATAAATTAATGTTTGATAACAAATTTATAGTGATCTTATAATCATCATTATCGTAAAATAACTATATGTGGTATACTTTATAATTTATCTGTGCTATAATTAACATTGCTTCATTTGTCCTGTGATATTTTTCCATGTTACAAATTAGAAAATCAGATTATAGCTTAAACTACTTTCTCAAGCTCTCTTAGCTGGAAACTGCAGGACCAGTATTAAAACTCTAGCATTCTAACACCAAGGCCACTCTGACACAGTGTAATATTTGGTAGAATTATAATTCTCCTCATTACCATGAATGAACACTCTATTGAAAGTTCCCTTTGTGCTAGAGACTCTGAAGGTACTCTGTATAATTTAATCCTGACAACCACCCTAATGAAGTCAGTATTATTATCTCCATTTTTACAAATGAAGAAACTGAGATTCAGAGACATTAAGTATTTCCTAAGGACACCTAGATATTAAATGGCAGAATGGAGATCTGATTTCCCAAATCTGAATGCCATAGTCAGTACTTATAACTCATGCCAACCTGCTCTAACCAGTGTATTAGGTGTTTTTGTGGCCATAGTTCCTTCATAAGCAATTTATAGATGAAATACATGTTTACTCAATCCATTGTTTGGTTGTTAATTTGGAATTTTGGTTCCTGTTAATTGTGGACCTTCATATTATCAATCATATTGAGCCCATGGCAATTAATTCCAGTTAAGGCCAAATAACTGATCTTACTTTGCTTTGATTTAAAAACTTGAATCATATAGACATTCTCTACATCTATAAGATGTAAATAACTTTAATTATACTAGTCAGGATAAGTCAGATTATGTTGTCATAACCAATAATCACCAAATCTCAGTGGGTTTATTTTTAAAAAATTATTTATTTATTTGACACAGAGATTGGGAGAGAATAAGCATAAGCAGGGGGAGCAGCAGAGGGAGAGGGAGAAGGTTCCCTGCTCAGCCCAGGACCCTGGGATCATGACCCAAGTGGAAGGCAGACTCATAACCAACTGAGCCATCCAGGCATCCCAAATCTCAGTGGTTTTAAATGATGAGAATTTATTTCTCATTTACATTTTATGTTCATTACAGGTGAGCAGGTAGTCCTGCTCTAAATTGTCCTGACTCAGAGACCAGAATCTATCAAGAATGCTTTTGGTCATCAAAGTGGGAGAGAGGGAGAACTGGGGAATCATGAACCAATCCTTAAATGCCAGATGCAAGTGACATATGTTACTTCCACTCATCTTTTATGTGGCAAAATATGTCACATGGCCTCATCCAACTTTAAAGAACAGGAAAATAGAAAAAACATGTGCCTGAAAAGAATAGAACTAGAAATATATCCCTTTAGAAATTCATGACTAACTCAGACGTTAGTCAATTTCTCGGTGAAAGATTTTCTAGGGTGAAATAAATTTGGGAAACTTTGAATTAAACATATTAAAGAAGTTTCTTAACTATAAGTCTTCTCTGAACCCTTATATATAATATGCTTTATTAATCTCCAAAAAAGGGACCATTACCATAGGATATTTTTTCCCGAAGACTTTTTTCAAAGACTCATGTCCTAAAGAGAACAGTTTCAGAAATAGTACTCTAAGGTTCTGCCTTTTAGAACTTATTTGTGGAAAGAGGAAAGGAACAAAGAAGGAAAGGAAAGAATAAAGAAAGGAAAGAAAAAGACCAGGGAAGTGCAAATTTATGGATAGTTTTGAGATCAACAGCCTTCCACAGTAGCTAGTTGCAACCAAAAATTGCATTTCTAATCTCTTGCATATCACAGTTAATTTATTGAGTTGTTTATTCAACATCTGATAAGATGCTATGTGCTTTACTCATGTTACCTCATTCCATCTTCACAACATAAAAGGCAGATTATTATCTCCTCACAGATGAAGAAACTAAACTCAGAGAAGACAATTACATGTTCAAAGCCACACAGATAGTAAACTGAGTTGCAGACGAGATGAGAAGGAGAAGTCATGTCAACCTCCAATAAAAAGGATTAAGTGCTCTAGTTAGAGATTGGTCAAAAGATGGAAAGATTCATCTTCATTTTGATTATCTTCTCTGTTTGGACCTTTAGTTACGTGGAAGCAGTGATATTTGGGGGCCTGAGTGAAGAGCCTTGAATGCCAGGCTGTTTGGATTTTATTCTCCAGGTAATGTTGAGCCATGGAAAGGTTTTGACTCGGGAGGGATCAGACAATTATAACAAGGCTTAGCATTTCAAATTCTAAGGAGTCCTTAGGTAATTCAGTTCAACTCTTTCAATTCACAGATGGCAAACATAAAGCTCTGGAAGTTGAAGCTCCACAGCTAAGGCTTTCATTATTGGCATTAGCTTTTTATCTGGGTAACTGACCTAGCTGATTAGTTTGCCTCAGTTTGGTCACAGGCTGAGCTCAGGTCCCACTGGCTTCCCATTAGCACCCCCAATTAATGCAAGCCCTTCCATGAGGCCTTCACAGCTGGCAGAAGAGGAGTCAGTTTTGAGCCCCAGGGGATCAAGTCGGGGAGGTAGCAGCATTCAGAGGTATCAGAGTGTATCTGACATCCAGGGCAGGGATCATCTCTTGACTGAAGAATACTTCTCTCCTGGCTTGTGCAGAAACCCAGCCCATAGCCACTGATCACAGCTTTATTGGAGTGCTATGTTAAACCTGGCATTATCAAGATGGGCAGTATGAGTCTCCAAAGAAAGGAAGAAAGAAGTTGGTAATCAATGGGTAAATAATTGCTGATGTTGTGCGTGTGCAGGACTTGGTCATGCAGATGCCCGTCTGGAGTTGATAAATGACAGATTCACCTGCAATTTTCACCTATGAAAAGATGAGGTAGCTCTTTCTGCTGTCAAAACCATCCCTGCCCCTAGGTCCTTTTCGTAGCAAATGATTCTACTCCAACCTCCCAGTTGTGCAAGCCAGAGCCCTAAGTACCATTTTTTGGCTTCCTTATTCCTGATACGTAATCAGGACCAAGTCCTCCTATATTCTGAATACTGCCACTTGCCCCATCCTTTCTGCAATAATCTTAGTTTAGAACACATCATGTCTCATCTAAATTATTGCAAAAGCCTTTTATTTTTTGTTTCTCCTGCTTCAAATCTTGCTCCCCTTAACCAGTTCCGCATACTGCAGCCAGAGAGATTGAGAAAGCAACAATTCTTTGAAATAATATGTTTATTTTTCAGAGCCAGAAATGCTTTCAATCAGAGCATAGGTTATTTTGTTCCATTTTCTGGCTTCCTTACAGAAAAATGGCAATATCACAAGAAGTATGGGTGATATGATCTTGATCACAGGCTGAAGGGATTTTTTTTTCAACCAGAGATCAAAGAAGAGGAATCAATTTAAAAAAATTATTTTTCAGTTTGCTAAAATGTGAGTCAACAACTCTTTAAGATCTCAAACTGCAGAATTCCCAGTTTAGGTAAGAGCTTTGTAAGAACTAGTACTTTTAGGAAGTTTACCAGAAGAGAAATTTCACTATTTAGCTCTTTGAGGGTGATGTATCCAGCTTTCTATTATAAAAATGTGTATTGATAAATGCATGCCTAAGTCAAAGGGTGAAGAATAAGAAGGATTCCAGTCAGAGAAACTCTCCTATATTCTAAAGGAAAGTTATCTTTTCTAGTCCATCTCGACGATGAGGGAAGAAGATAAAATTTAACTCATTAGCTTTAAGAGTCAATTACTATCACAATTTTACAGAGAAGGATTCTTGGGGCAGTTAAATATCTTGGTTAAGATTCTAGATCTTCTAAGTGGAGATTCAAACCCAAACACGAGAATGTGAGTTCTTAAGTTGGCTTTCTCATGGCTTTGAGATAAGTGTTGCTTTCAATACTCAAACACTCTTATGAGATAGGTTTTCCCTTTCTAGAGATATGTTTATCAAAGGTTAAAGGGTTTAAAATTTGTCCCATGTCACTTAGTAAGTGACAAGGCTGACATTGAAAGTCATACTTGGCTACTTCCAAAGCCCGTGTTTTTCTAGGTATCTTCCAAGAGAGCATTCTGTTTATTGTCTCATGGATGCAGTCAATGGTATGTGACAGTGTTCAGAAGTGACTGAATAACTAGCAATAATCATAAAAGCACATTATCAAAACTTCACGGTGTAACCTTTGTGCTTCACAAATATTGTTAAAATGAGGTTCTGACAATAAAATGTCAGGAAAGTTAGTATAAATTGGACAAGAGCGTGATGGTAACTTCAAAACTTAATTTGGCAATATTCACATCAGATTCTGATTTAATCCTTAGCAAAATGAAGGGCTCCCTTTTGACTTTAATTCTATTCCCTGTCTTACTTGCCATCTCAGAGGTGAGGAATGAGGAGTCTATGAAGCACTGTGGGCTAGAGTAAAAGCAGACATCTACATCTGGGCTAGCTCCAGGTGGAGAAGGCACCCGGAAGGGACCCCTCAAAGTCAGCAAGGTAACATTAACTCATGTGACTCCTTCATTTATTATTTTTTTTCCAGGCTCGTTTTAGCACCTGTTTCTCTGGACTTCTAAGCCACTTCTGTATCAGTTTAAGGGGTTAATTATCAAAATAAATTGAAATTGGCTTGGGAAAGAAGTGAACTTGCTACCTTTCAGAAAATAAGGAACTTGTTTGCTTTGTCTCCAGCTTGAAGTCATTTGATTGCATAACTACTTCGATGAGCTCACCATCTATGGCTGGTGCTATGGGGACTAGAGAGAAGCACATGATTTTAAGGGACATGTTGAAGTGGCAGGGATAATTTCACATGTGGATAACTGTCGAATATAATAAGTTAGAATTCAGGTGAGTGCTAAATAAGGATGGAAGGAAGGAAACTGTTATTGAGCACTTATTAAGTGCCAGGTGGTTTTAGGTGCAACATCTCATTCAGTCTACTGATAAGCTTCCTGTGAAGTAATATTACCCCCATTTACCATTTTACTGGGGACAAAATTGTTCACCCAGCTAGTAGGTAGTGAGGTGAGGGAGCAAACCAGGTCCATCTGACTTCAAGAGCTGAGGTCTTTCTTTGTTCTATACTGTGTCTCAGGTGGGAAAAGGAAGATGGTGAACCAGTGTCATAAATGATAGCATCATAGAGGCAGTGGTGTAGGATTTGGGGAGTTATGAGGAGCGAGGCGAAGTGGAATTCCGGAGGGAATCCAGTAGGAATTGTTTGATCAGGATGTTGAAGGTAGGAATGAGCCTAGTGTGTTTCAGAAATATGGAGGAGACTGACTTCACAGTTTATTTCTTCATTTTTCAATTCAAGGAGTTTGACTGGAATTTTCTGCTAATCCTATATTAAAGTGTGAGGTAGAATTTATTTAAGACTATTTTAATCATAGAGTGTAATAGTTTTATAATAAAAAGTTCAAAAAGGAAAATGTGATTACATAATAAATGTTGCAACCACATATATAATTGTGAAGATTCCAGTGTGGTTTCAGATGACTTTGGTAAACAAAAGCATTTTAGAAAATGACCCACAGTTTTCATATTTTAGTGGGCTAATTTCTTGAAAAATTATGAACTTACCACTCCCACAATGAAAGGTTCATAGTTACTAGATGTTAACAGATACAATAAAGGTTTTTAATCTCCAGAGAGTAAGCATAATTTACCAGGCTTACCATTATTTATCCATCTCTGCATCAGCAGGCCAAAATGCACTAGAAAGAATATATTTGGAATATCTATGAAATACACAGGGCAGTGAAATGGATGTCTGCGCAAGGCTTTCTTTTTACCACCACAGACATCATAATACAGTGTATATAATCTTTCACAAAGTTTTTTCTCATAAATTATTTCTTCGACCCATTAGTGGTTTACTAACGAGCGTTCATTCATGTAGGTTTTCTTGGTGCTTGCCAGTAAGCCAAGGTACTGATAAATAAGTTGGAACCAAGTAAAATTAAGGGAGGACTTTGTTTGGGATAACAATGCGAACTACTTTTTGTTTTCAGACCTAGAGGTTTAAACCTCCACTTCCTTCCTTACGATCAGCTTTGCAGGGCATACCCAGGGTTATTTGTTGTTTGTTTGTTTTTTATTTATAACACGTAACGAATACTTCGGAGGCAGCTGGTTAACGAGCAGAGGCGGCCAGTACAACGCAAGGCAAGCCCTGACTTGGCTACTCGTTGGCTCCCAGCCCCTGGTTGTGTCATGCCTCCTCTCTGCTCTCACGTTGCCTCCTCCGCCAAAACAGGAAGCTGTAGATGACTGAGTTCTCCCCAGAATGTCTAATCTTTCTGAAACCAGACCAACATTTAAGGAAAATGATGTGTAGTGTTCAATTTCTTTTAAAAAACCCAGGCGTCGAACTTGGCGGCTACCTTCCTTCTTTGTCAGTGCCCTCGGAGGAAGTATGGTTTTTTCTCTTCTGTACAGCTGAGTGAGGAAACGAGCCCAGCTCCCAAATGATCCTGTTTCTGAGGAAGGCGCAGCGCCAAACCTCCCGAAGGTGGATTCCTCGGGGGAGGAAAAGTCTTCCTGATGGACAGCTGCCCCCTGAAGGGCTTTGGGGCTCAAAGAAGCTTTGGGTGATGTCAACACAAGACTCACAAAGAGTCAGCTGCCCTGCCTGTTGTTCCATGCCTGATTTATCTGCTCTTTGTTAAGACCAGAGCCGATACCCGACGATGGTGGAACTTTAGCACGTGTTAACATGTTTTTACTTCTCACTACAGCGCTTATATTGTGTTATTAAAACAATGGCTTTTGGCGAGGCAATCTTTCTTTCCTAAAAGTTGTGGGTGAGTGGTGAAAACCACAATGAAGTCTATTTTCTCCCTTTGCCAAGTTGAATGCACTGTTCTTTTAAAATTTTAACGAATCCTTTGAAATTTGAAATGCTGTGCAAAACTGTAGTAGAAATGCCATAAATCAAGCTCACTGTGATTTTCTCCTTTTAAAAAAATTTTTAAAGTAACTTTAAAACAGTAAACAGATTATGCTGACGGTAAGAAAATGTAAAACAAAACAAAACAAGCATAAAAAGAAAATAAAAATCAACTGTTACCACATCATCCAGAAATAACTCTCCACTCTTAACTTTTGGGTTCCTGTATATTATTACTGAGAACTTAAACACTGATTCATGGTCAAGTATAAGAATCTAAACAAAGTGTTTTTCTCAAAAAGTGCTTGATAAACGTTTCCTAATATGCAGCCCTTCTCCTTGACGATAGCTGGAGGCATATGTGTGTCAGTTAGGTCCCCAAACAGCTAAAACCCAGAAAATGTTTGCATAATAAGCTCTTTCCTATAGTCTGGTCTGTTTTCGGTTTTGCTTTCCCAGAGATAAAAGGACATTGTATTCTCATTCTACAAGTCAAACTGAGACCCACATAGCTGAGTCTTGTGACACAATTGGATGTCTTCACAGATAGAAAGACAAAGTGAGGAAATCACAAAACTATGTTTTCATTTGTAACTCTTGACAGTCAACACTCCAGGGGGCTGTAACAATAGATTCTCTGTTCATCTGAGGTGTTGCTCTTATTACTACCGGAGTCTGTATTTGAAATTCATCTACTACGTATTAGGCACTTAAACTGTGTCAAGGCATTGTGCATGACATTTAAACATTTACTTCACGTATTTGTTGCAGGAAACCTATGCGAGTGGATAGTACTTTATCACTGTGTTGCAGATAAAGAAACTAAGGCTCAGTGGAATTATGTAAACGTCCTAAGTCACACACAGCTAAGGAGGTGGTGTTACTGGATTCAAATTTAGGCTGCTTAGCATGAATCAAGGCAGTCACATCAAACTGTACTGGTAGTCAGTGTATTCTTCACCACCAAGAACAACACTCCCATAACAACGGGAACTACCCTGGGTTTTTTTGTTTGTTGTTTTTTTGTTTTTTTGTTTTGTTTTTTTGTTTGTTTTATTTGGTCTCACTGAAAGAATGTCCATTGATGAGGCAATAAGAATTAATTATATTAAGTCTCAGTCCTTGAGTACATGCCTTTTCAGTATGATGGGTGGTGAAATGGGAAGACTGCAGGAAGCACTTTTGGAACATACTGAAGTGTATTGGTTGTCTCATGGTAAAGCACTTACGTGATTGAGTTGTGAGCTTAAAACTAGCTGCTTTTTCCAGGAAGCACTTTTCTTTTCTCTTTTTTAAAGACAGACTAAAAAACTGTAGTTATTCAGACTTGGATATTTGAAATTAAATGAAAAAAGATATGAAAATGAACAAAGTGAGCCTGTCACTTCAAGGAAAACAATTGACAATATTTGTTGCTGATGATAAAATTCAAGCTTACAAGCAATTTTGGAAAACTTTTATCCATCACCATGAGCATCAGCGGTGATATTAATGAATTTTATTTTTTGGTATTCATTGTGTAATGAAATGTGTCAACATTTGGGAGATCAGCATAACTCGGTGAACCAATATTTTTCAAATGAGCAATGCATGATATTACAAAATCATAAATAGGTAAAATATCCATTCCAAGTGCAAAATAAAGATTTTAATCTAACAGTACAACAATTCACTGATGTGGTTTCAGATTCTGCATTGCGACTAACCTTTAATAAACAGCCACTTGTTGAGTTTTGGTATACTATTAAAAAAGAATATCAAAATTATGTGAAAAGATAATTTTATTAAATAAAACTGAAATAATCTTAAATTAATGAAATTAAAATAATCTATTAAAATAATTTTCCCTTTTCCAACCAAATATCTGGATTTTCTATGAGGCTGGATTTTCTGTGAGGCTGGACTTTCCTCATATATATCAATCAATATGACACACAGTAACAGATTGAATGCAGAAGCTGACATGAGAATTGAGCTGTATTCTATAAAGCCAGTCTTTAGAGATTTGCAAACATATAAAACAATGCCATTCTTTTCACTATGTGTTTTGTTTTGTGAAAATAGACATTTTTCATAAAATATGCTATTGTGTTAACATGTGGTAGGTAGGTTTATTATTTTTAAATGAGATAATAAATATGTTTAAATTTCTGTTTTAAATTCCATTATGATAAATATGGATAAATTCAACCCACACAAACAAAAACCCTTTGAAGTTCTTAATAACTTTTAAGAGTGTAGAGTACTGAGACCAAAAAGGTTGAGAGTTACTGTTCTATAACATGTACTTTTTGAGATTTCACCAATAGGTATTCAAGTTGTTTGCAGTATTTGCCATTACAAATAAAGATGCACTAAACATCCTTGTTTATGTATCCTTACATTGTCACTTTTATTTCAATGAGATAGCTTATCAACTTTCTAGGGGAAAGGTATGTTTATTTTTTTTCAGTATATTTGTATTAGTTACTATTTATTTGATATATACTTATTAGTTATTTAAAATGTATCTATGTATTTTAAGTACATAGAGAAACAAAGAGGAAAAATGGGACCTACTCTCTTCACTTGAATAAATCCTATAGCCAGTTTTTTTGGGGGGGGGAATATATGTATCAAGTTAGGAAATTCAAACAGTCCAGAGAAATATAAAATAAAACAAAAGTTTCATTCTCTTCCATTTGGTTCTAAGTTATAGTATAATTATAGTATAACCCTTATTGAGGGTTTCTTATAATTTCTGCCAGGAATAAAAATCCTGTTTATACTGAATTTATGTAGTATAGCTACAAATACAGTTAGATAGCTTCCTCCCTGTCTATGTATCTATCATCTATCTATCTACCTACCTATCTCCCTATTTATTATCTATAGCAGAGACTTTTAGCTGTCCGCCAAAATTTCTCCTCTTCCTCTTGGGCACACAGCTGGATGACATTTCTGTCTCCTTTGCAGGTACATGTGATTGTGAGACTAATTCTGGCCAATTAAACGTGAGTAGTAGTGATACGTGCCAATTCCAAGATTAGCCCTTAAAATCTTAGCAACTTAGCAAGCAATAACCTTTGAGTTGTTTTATGTTTGATTTTATTTTTTGTAGTAGTTGGCCTAATACAATACCTACTGAGTACATCATACTATTTTACACAAAAAGGGGTTATACATACTACCTTACATCTTGTGGTTGTATGTAGTATATCTTGGAGATATTCCAGTAACATCCTGGTATGTGTATTTTAAATTTAAAAACACATACTGAGAGATTACCGTCTAAAAAGTTTGTATTAATTCATATTCTCACTAGAAATGTGTGAGAGTACCTATTTCTCTATATCCTCACCTGTCCATACTGTTATTACGCTTGCAAAAATTTGGAATTCTTAAAGGTGAAATATTGACTACCATTTTTGGTTTTACTGGCATTATCATGACTATGATCACCTTTCATATTTATTGGACATTTGTATTTTCTATTCTGTATATGAGTCTGTTTATGTACTTTGACCATTTTTTATGTATTTATAATACTTTTATTATCAATTTTCAAAGCTTTTTTATATTAAAAATACTAACATTTTTTAAGATTTTATTTATTTGACACAGAGAGAGAGAGAGCATAAGCAGGTGGAGCGGCAGGCAGAGGGAGAAGGAGAAGCAGGCCCCCCGCTGAGCAGGGAGCCCGATGTGGGGCTTGATCCCAGGACCTGGGGATCATGACCTGAGCCGAAGGCAGGTGCTTAACCAACTGAGCCACCCAGGCGCCCCAAGGATACTACCTTTTTGACTCTCATCTGAGTAAATTATTTTCCCTTAGTCTTTGGTATGTCTTGAATTCAGTTAGGATGTCTTTGCCAATGTCTATCTTTTCCTTTATATTTTCTGTATTTTCTGCTTTGCTTAGGAAGATCTCCCTTAGTGCAAGGTTGTACAGGAATTCTGCTAAATTTTATTCTGATAACTTTGTTTTGTACCTTTGCATTTAAATTTAATCCACATTACATTTATTTTTGTATAATGTGAGGTATTTAATTTTCATCTTCTTCCAAATTGACAGAAAATTTTTCCAGCATTATTTATTAAATTAACCATCTTTTGCCCATGAAAATTTCATGTCACTTTAGTCATATGTTGTTTTCATTACATTTGGAACTATTATAGGGCCTTTATTCTGTTCACTGCTCTATTTATTCTGAATTAGCCACATGCTATTTCAATTGCGGTAATTTTATGGTAAGTTTTAATATCTTTTAAGAAAAGTTGTCATTATAGATTAGGTTTTGGGGGGATTTTTTATGGCGATTATGAGACATAGATTCTTCCATATGGATTTTATAATTGTGTTATTTTGTTCCCCCCCAAATTTCATTGGAATTACAATTTCAATGGCATTACATTTGCACTAATGCAGGAAATATTGTATTCTAACATATTAAGAATTCCAATCCAAAATGTTACTATAATAACATAGGTATTTTATTCCTTTTAATATCTTTTTGTAATGTTAATTATGTAGGTCTTGTACTTAAAAATATATATATTTTTTCTTTAAATTCAATTTAGTTAACATATAGTGTATTATCAGTTTCAGGAGCAGAATTTAGTGATTCGTCAGTTGCATATAACACTGAGTGCTCATAACATCAAGTGTCCCTCACTCATCTTCCCTCCAGCAGCACTGTTTGTTCCCTGTAGTTAAGAGTCTCTTATGGTTTGCCTCCCTCTGTTTTTATCTTATTTTATTTTTAATTCCCTTTCCCTATGTTCATTTGTTTTGTTTCT